TCATCATCACCATCCTTCACGTCATCTCCGCCGGAGGTTGACAGTAACCAGAGCCTGCATGGAAGCTCTCCTCCCATGTAGAGAACCAGGGCCGTTGTGCCAGGGTTCCCCTATCGGGAGGGTGTCAGAACACATAGTGACCACAGATGCTTCCCTCAGAGGCTGGGGGGCTCTGTGTGGTGGTTTAGCGGTGAGGGGGGTATGGTCCTCGACCCAGTCAGGGTTCCATATAAACTTTCTGGAACTGTTAATTGTGTTTCTGGCCCTGAAACACTTCAGTCGTCACCTGAGAGGACAACATGTGCTAGTGCACACAGACAACACAACTGTGTATCATATATAAACAGGCAGGGAGGAACACGCTCTCGTCCTCTACTGAATCTGACCCACACATTGCTGCCCTGGTGCAATCTGAATCTCCTGTCTCTCAGACAGGGTGTCCGCGGGGTTTTAAAAAGTATTAAAAAGTGATAAATAAAAATAGTCAAATTTAAGGCCATTAAAAGTGTTAAATTTGGTCTCAGAGGTATTATTTTTTCCAAATTAGGTATTATTTTTTTCAGACTATCAGATGTCGTATTCTGAACATCGACATAGAAATATATTCCGAATGAAATGTTTTGAACGATTATAAAAACAAAACAAGCCGATAATTTGCTCCTCCCACTTGCGCTGCCTTGAGTTGCAAATGAAGCGCTCCTCCCAGTGTTGTCAAGTTAACTTAGCGACTTTGACGCTATTTCTAACAGCTTTTCAGACCCCCTTCTTGACTTTTTAAATCTTAAAAGTACCTAGGGAACACCTCAGAAACATCTCTGGTAACCCTTAGCTACTTTCTGGATAACTGTCGTCGACATTTCCTGCAGGTTAGCTAAACACTCCGCCTGCTCTCCGGACCGTTCTTCAGGACATTAGGAAAGGGAATGATGTAGTGATGTGTCAGTCGCTAAAGACAGCTCTCGGAGCCGGCTCCCTGTTGGATTAACCAGAGTGAGTGACACACACACTGCACCTGCGGACTCCTGAGCCGATAAAAACGGCTAAATGTGCGCGTGCGGCGCGCTAAACACACGTGCAGCTTGCCCCTGATTGCTGTGAGACCGGGTTGGGGGTGGGGGTGCAGCTGTGGTTGGGACAATTATTACATTAACTGATGGACTTGTAAATAAATAGTTTATAAATGAGGTAGAAATAAGTTCCTCACGCTGATAAATAATAACTAATCTCTCTGAGGACACAGTGCTAGTGCACGCTCCTACAGCACCTTGACACGACTCAATAAATGTTATGCAACATTTAGTGAACATCAATTTATTTGCATTTATTTGTTATAAATGCCACTGTATAATTCTTGCTGTCAGTATTTGCAAGATATTGGTATTTGGGTCTGCACTGGTTAGACTTAAATGAGTTAAACCAAGGTCTGTAGCCCTTGGGTCATAAACTATGAGCTATAAGTATATTGGTCTTTTTATACTGGGAATCAGGAGTTATTTTAGTGATCATCTTGTTTCTTGTTTATTTTTGCCCTGATTGTGCCCTGAGCAGTTTTATGACTGAATAAAAAAAAAAAAATCTACATAAATTGAAAAATCGTCTTAAATAATCGAGATCTAAATTTCAGTCACAATAATCGTGATTATTGTTTTTGCCATAATCGAGCAGCCCTACTTTAGCATATCCGGTCACATAATGATGACGTCATATTCAGTGGTCGTTGTGCATCATTTCAAGCCTCGTGGTCAACTGTCTGAACCGCTGAACAGAAGTGCCTGGCTTATTTTCTAAGTAAAATAAATATGTGTAATACGTTGTCAACATCAGTGAGTCTCTAAGTCTATTCTTTTTGTATGTTATATATGTTAAAAAATGTGTAAATAGGTCGCTGATTAACACTTGCAATTTAGTGTTGTGATGGTTTTAAAAAAATTCTGAAGGTAGTAAAAAAAGTATTAAAAAGTAGTAAATTTTACTTAAGGATTGCTGTATATACCCTGCTCAGAGCAGCTTATGTCCCCGAGTACCTCATCCACGGGGCAGACTTGCTCTCCAGGGGCGGACCTCTGTCAAAGGAATGGAGGCTCCACCCCAAGGTGGTGTCCCAGATCTGGCTGAGGTTCGGCAGGGCAGTAGTGGATCTGTTTGCGTCAAGCGTAAACACACACTGTCCCCTGTTCTTTTCCCTGACAGATCAGACTGCTCCAATGGGATCGGATGCTCTGTTGCACCCTTGGCCCAACGTTCTCCTCTACGCTTTTCTGCCGGTGGACAGCAGTACTGGAGAGAGTGCGCAGGTTGAGCAGGTCTCTGATTTTGGTGGCTCCTCAGTGGCTCACAAAGTCTTGGTACCCGGAGATCATCAGTATGATGATAGCCCCCCATGGAAGATCCCCATCAGACAGGACCTTCTGTCACAGGCACAAGGGGAAGTGCTGCACCCTCGCTCCCATCTGTGGAAGCTGCAGGCCTGCCTACTGAAAGGTTCAACCTGTTAGCTAAAGGTCTTCCCCCGGCTGTGGTGAATACTATTCAGAGCTCAAGAGCATGCTCCACTCGATCAGTATGAAGTTTCTGTCTTATAAGACAGCTCTGCTCTTAGCCCTTGTGTCGGCTAAAAGGGTGGGAGACCTTCTTGCTCTTTCAGTTCACCCTTCCTGTCTGAAAATGTCATCAGATGGAGCTAGGGTCACTCTGCATCCAAATGCTGCATATTTGCCTAAGGTCATCCCGCTCAACTACGGTTCCATGACCATAGAGCTTTCGGGCTTCAGTAGTCCTCCTTTTGCAGAGGAGGCAGCATTGTCTGTGCCTGGTTTGTGCTCTGCAGGCGTATATAGATCGCACTCAAGAGTATCAGAAAAACAGACCAAATGTTTGTGTGTTTTGCCAAACCCTCCATGGATAAAGCTTTGTCAAAGCAAAGACTTTCTCATTGGATTGTGGAGGCCATTTCCCTGTGTTACAGCGTCACTGGCTCCCAGCTGCCCCTAGGGGTCAGGGCACACTCTACTAGAGGTGTGGCTGCTTCTTTGGCGCTGTTTAAAGGTGTTTCAATTGGTGACATTTGCTCAAAGGTGTGGGCCTTTGTGAGGTTTTACCACTTGGATGTTTTGGCCCCTTCGGTGGCCCCTGCGGTTCTCTCTGCTGGATTTGACTTACCATCTTAGGTTGTAATCTCAGGCCAGGTTTTAGAGCCCTGCACTGAAGCCCTAGGCCCTCGGGTCGGCCCGGCCCGACGGTCCGAGGGCCGGGCTTCGGGCCAACGACTGTGTAATTACCTCGGACACGGGCCGGGCGCCTTTATTTTTAATCGAAATCATAAAAAAAAATTAAAACACTTAAACGCAGCAGTAGAGCCCTGCGCGGGACTGTTTTCTTCATCCCGCTCCTGCCCGCTCCCGCTGAATTTCTGACCATTACAGCCTGCAACCGCAACGTGTGTGTTACACTCCCGCCCACACCAGCAGCGTGCATGTCCACTCCCGCCCGCAACCGCAAAACTCGGAGAAATTATTACCTCACAATAAAAGAGATGTATTGAGTTTGCGTCCTCAACATGTCATTTTATAGGTTATCCGCTTTCACCGCGGCGCTGCGCTCCGTTTCAATCAGGCTGTACAGCAGGATTTCCCCTCGTAGCGATATTATCTCTAACTCTGATTGCTTCATGCTATAGATCGTTGGAAGGTTGCTTTTATGTACTTTTAGGAACCGTTGGAATTATTTGAATCTGATCAACCATTCAAAAGTTATAAAACGGAGCATTTTGGATGACAAACTCGCACGTCTCTGAATCTGTGTTGTGATTCGTTGCGCTCAAGACAGGGAATCCCGGTGGCTACCGTAATGTATTGTATATGCACGAAAAGCCCCATTTTTAATCTTTTCAGCACTTTTGGAATTTTAATGATATCTTGAACTAGAGCAGGGATCGGCAACCAGCGGCTCTTCCATCCATCTGCGGCTCTCTGTGCTTGTAAAATAATGAATGGATGTTTAAACAAAATGCTTTATGTTTTACTGAATTAATTTTATATCTGTAAGTCAATTCTATGTGAAGATTGTCTGCGTAAACCTGAACAGTTCTAACCCAGTCTTACTGTGAGACCGTGTTGGGTCACGCTTGTGCGTAATCATATGCGCTCATGAGCTGAAGAGGATGTGAGATTCTGGGATTCTCCTCAGACGGCTCCTGGATGCGTCGCCACATTGGAGACAGGAACAAGCACTATTCAGCCAAAGTTTCATAATCAGGGAACATTTTCTAAGTGACAAGTCTCCCTGAGCGACAGGGTTTGGAAAACACTCGCTTCAGTGGGAGGAAGCTTCCCGCATGCGCTTCTGCGACGCTCGGATCCTGCACGTCTTTTAACACATTGGTCAGGATTGACGCACTTTGTTTTCATTTAGTTGGTTAAAAAAAAGTCGGGCTCGGGCCGGGCCAGATAATCCTGAAAACCTTTTCGGGCCGGGTTGGGCTGGGGCTCCACCCCCTCGGGCCGGGCCGGACACGGGCTCAGATTTTAGGCCCGTGCAGGGCTCTACCAGGTTTGATAGCTGCTCATGGGGTGTTTCGATAAGTCCCATAGTACCTTCATTGTACCTCATTCCTCTCCTTCAGGGAACAGTGGTTATATGCATAACCTAACGTCTTCTAGAGTCAGCCGATCACTGAATACTGAACAGGAAGTTATTGGCTCGGGTTTGATGACACAACCACTTCAGAGGAAAGCAGGTGTGTTGTGCAGCCACATCAACTTCGTGAACCAACAATCATGAGAACAAAGAGGTGGATGGGATGAACAACAGATCAGTAATTATCAGTGTTGTTTAAAGTGCTAAGAGCGGGATTTGGGGACCAGCTCAGATGCAAAGTATCGATGAGAATAACACTTGGAGATTAAAAAGATAAAAACTGATTCATTTACTGCAAGTTATCAGTACTTGATCTTTGTGTTTAAAGGAATAAAATTGTGTATTTGCTTATTCTTTATCTCTAGTCAACAGCTTCAGCAGCAAGCCCTTCTGGTTTTGCAGGAGAACCAAGTTCTGATGGATCAGCTGGAGGCTCAGCGTGTTAAGGCCAAGGCCAGTCACAGCAGACACCAATCAGAAGGTTCTGCAAGAGACATCTAGTATATTTTCCCTACAATGAAAATATTACAGTAAAGCCATCCGAAGTTCAGAAAAAGCCTGAAGTGTAATACTTGTTCTGTTCTCTGCTCACCTTTTAATCACAAATGTTTACTTTCTCATCTCCTCTTCTTCTGCAGCAATAAAAGTGTCCAAGCAGCTGATGCTGTTAGAGGCAGAGAAGCAGAGTTTGCAGGAGGACCTGGAAGAGAGCAGGAAGGAGTTGCAAAAGCGCGCAAAGGAGGTTCAGGTCCTGCAAGCCCACCTGAAGGATGTCATCACCTGGGATGAGCACTGCAGCATAACAGAGAAACTCAGAAGGTGTCTCCTCGGGCTCTGGTTGGATTAAATATTTCTGCTTTTAAATGAAAATTTTATCAGGATTAAAACAGTTGTGTGCCAGAATGATTCTGATTAACATGAGAGCAGGAAAAAGGAGAGAGCAGTCAGTGAGTGGTGTATTGTGCAGCTCACCATTACCACAGGAGGTGAATGTGTGTGTGTGTGTGTGTGTGTGTGTGTGTGTGTGTATAAGTGAATGAATGATACACTGTAGTCTGAAGTGCTTTTGAGTCCTCTGACTTTGAAAGGTGCGATACTAGTGCGGGTCATTTATCATTATCATTTAAAATGAGCTGGAATCATTTTCACTTCCTGTCTGTTTGCTGTTACCGCTCATAAAGGATGTTTTGTTTTTTGTGGAAGAAAACGCCATGCTCCAACAGGTTCTTTTATCTTCTTGTTACCAGCAAACACCGTGAAAAACTACGGTGAAATGAACAATAAACACAAATATTCATTTTAATAATATAAAATGATAACTCAGATATTAATGCATATACAGATAAAATATACAAACACACCGTGTGCGCTCCTCCACTTAATATTCACAAGCAATTTCAGTCCATGTCCACTTTTCTTTGTCCAATGCGAGCTTGTTCTGGTCGCTTCTCCGTGCTGCGTGTCCATTAAACATTCGCTCCCCTCGTGCGCACCTTGAAGTGTCACACTTCAGTCCAGCCAGCAGGTGGCGTCAAATCAACAAAGAAATTAAATGAAATATTTCCACAGTTAAATCAAACAAATGAGAATGAATAACCGCATCTAACTGCGACAGCTACACTGCCACCAAAATTACAATGATTGAAATTAACTATGCATGAAAGGACTTTAAATCTTGTAATTTTCAATAAAACAACAATCAACCATAAACTTTTGTTGTGAAAACAACACACACAAAAAGAACAGTAACGTGATAAACTCAAATATCACATATTAATGTTGTATCAAATCTTGTACTACTTCACTGTAGTTCAGGACTAATTTTTAACCAAAACCACTAGTTTTTGAACAGGTCTCTCCAGAAAGGATAGTTGTCTCAAACGTTCACCTTTGTTTCCTAAATCTCTCTGACCTACTTCGATCTTAACCTTTCGCACTAAACCATCATCATCATCGTCACTGGCTTCAACTACCTTCTCCAATTTCTGTTCATTTCTTGGAATATTGTCTTTTTTAATATCACTACATCTCCAACTTGAACTTTTTTTGGGGGGTTATGCCATTGTTGCCTCAAACTAATGGTAGTCAAGTATTCTTTGCGCCACCTGCTCCAGAACTGTTCTGTTAAATCTCAGCCACCTCTTCCTGGCATATAAATCTTCGCTGACAAATCTACCAGGAGGTGGAAGTGGTACTGACTCTTTCATAGTGAGCAAATGGTTAGGCGTCAAAGGCTCAGCACTCAACACTCATTCATTGTGTTTGTAGTGAGTGGACGATGGTTCAAAATTGACATGGCCTCTTAGAAAAAAGCTCTCAAGGAGGTGTCATCTAATCTTCCTGTGGCTTGTGCTAGGACAGTGCTCATGACATTCCTAACTATCTGAATCTGGCGCTCCCAAACGCCCCCCCTGTGACTAACTTCGGGAACATTCATCAGAAAATCACATTGGTTTTTAGAACAATGAGTAGAAATCCTCTCATTGTCTAACTCCCAACAGACACTTTTTGAACTCATCCTTTGTCGAACGAATTTGTCTCTCTGTGCCCCTGATAGCTATGAAGCATTTTAAAGCATTTATAAATGCGTCAGTGGAGAGATCCTCCAACATCTCAATGTGTCCGGCTCTTGAACTTTAACAAGTAAACATTAGGCCATATCTCTTACACTCTTTTTGACCCTGTTTCATATAGGAGGGGCCAAAAACATCCAGTCCAGTGTAGGTGAAAGGTGGTGAAGGATCTACTCTGTCACATGGTAAATCAGCCATGTGCTGCTCTTCAGTTGGTCCACGCACCTTTCTACAAATGACACATCCTTTAATGAACTTGGCCACTACCTTATTAGCACCTATGATCCAATAACCATTTGCCCTAAGTTTGTTCAGTTTGGCCTCTGCCTTGGTGTTGTATTTTCTTGTAGTAGTGGTCAAGAACAAGCTTCTTTAGGACTGATTACTGGATGTTTCAGTTCAAATGATGCTGAGGACTTTCTCAACCGTCCTCCTACTCTAAGCAAGTTGTCTACAAGGTGTCATGTTGTGAAGGTGGAGGTGGTGGACCAAGTGTGGTGGGGGGTTCAGGAGGCAGAAGAGCAGGCACGGATAAAGTAAAAATGGGTTAAATAACAACTGGAGCAACAGGACAAAACAAGACATGCACATACAATGATCCGACAAAGGACAGGAGCAAAACAGGTGGTATAAATACACAGGGCTAATTAGGAAAACATGGGCAGGTTAACGAGGGACAGGTGAGAACAATACGGACTAATCAGGGCGGGAGAGAGACAGTCAGGAGGGCAGGGGCAGATCGTGACACAAGGATGGGATCGAGTTGGTGTATCTTATGGGTTTTTGGTAGTTTAGCTGTCTTTTGGCTAAACCATCTGAGTTCCTCTTCAAAAGCTTCCTTCTGTGCTATCTGGAAGAGTACAGAAGCAGCCATTTGTCTTTCTTTCACATTGATGGGTCCTGATTTGTCTCTTTTGCAAGTCTTTTAATCCTTGCTACCACATTAAGTGCTGTGATCCAATCAGAGTAATTCAAGAACTTCTCGAGTCTTGCTCAAGAGCATCTGTGTTAAGAACTTTTACCTCTGGGTCACCAACAAGAAGTTCTGGAGATTGTTGGTTCGTGATAATTTCTCTTTCCCAAAGGAATTTCGGTCCAGTGAGCCACTTTGAGTTTATTAGCTCTGCCACCTTGAGGCCTCTAGATGAGTGGTCAGCTGGATTTTGATCAGTTTCAATGTAAAACCATTGGTTACGGTCTGTAGTGTCTCTTATTTTTTTTAACTCGATCTGCGACAAACACATGTAAGCCACGAGCATCGTTTTTTATGTACCCAAGAGTCACTTGAGAATCTGTCCAGAAAAACTCCTCGTCGATTTTCCGCTCAAGTTCTGCTCTAAGGAAGTTACTAACAAAAGCAGAAACTGCAGCTGCAGTGAGCTCGAGGCGCGGGATTGTGACTATTTTTATAGGTGCCACTCTGGCTTTACCCATAACTAGAGCACAATGCACTTGTTCATCTGTAACAAACCTAATGTATGAACATTGCCAATAGCCACTGCTGCTAGCATCAGAAAAATGATGCAGCTCAACCTTTTTGACTGTGCCTAGGTTCTCAGGAATCACGCATCTAGGTATTTCAGCCTTTCAAAAATTTTCCAAGTCACTGAGCCAATCTTTCCACTTGGTTTCCAGTGCAGGAGGCACAGGTTCATCCCATCCAACTCCACTTTTGCACATTTCCTGGAATACTTGTTTTCCTATCAAAATGTAGGGTGAAAGAAATCCTAACGGGTCATACACACTTGTTGCTAGAATTCCTCTGCGTGTGGCGGGCCTTTCTTTGAGGGCTCCAATGAATGCGAACACATCGGCTTCCACATTCCATTTTTCTCCCAGCACACTTTGCATTGGAATTTCAGAGTAGTTCATGTTTACATCCGTAGTGTTGCTAGCTTGTTCAGTTTCTGGAATAACACTCATGACCTCTTTGTTGTGGCACACAAATTTGTGCAAGTGCAACTTCCCTTTAGCACAGAGTTTGTGTGCTTCACAGACTAGCTGCTTGGCATTCTTGTCTGTTTCAATGCCGAGTAGCCCATCATCCACATACAAGTTGTTGTGGATGAAACCGGCTGCCAGTGGGTAGTCCTTTTCATTTTTTTCTGTCGAGATGTTTCATGCCAAAGTTAGCACATCCAGGCGATGGCGCTGCTCCAAAAACATGCACTCGCATGCGATATTTCTTTGGCTCAGTATTTGTACTTCCATCCTTCCACCACAAAAACCTTAAAAAATCTCGATCCTCTGGAATAACATGGAAGCGGTGAAACATTTTCTCCACATCGCACATTATTTGCGATTCTGTTCTCTCGGAATCTGCACAATTCTCCTGTTAAATCAAACAAATGAGAATGAATAACCACATCTAACTGCGACATCTACATTTGCTAATTCATATTTCATTAATACTTCACTGATTACTTTGCAACTAAAAAAGACAAGATGAGAACAGCATGCTGCATTTTCAAATCCTGTAAAGACAAGCAACAGGATGAATTATTAATTGAGGATGAGCATAATCAAAGCCAGCGGGTTGAACAGAAAGGCCAAAATCATCAAAATAAGCTGCTTATTCAGACAAACCAGAACCAAAGCTACCAAAGCTGTAATACATATCTGTATTAGAGTATCTGTAAATATTTTATCTGTTGTGTTGTAAACTGGGCTCATGGCTTTCAGACAACTGGAGCAGCAGGAAAGCAAAAGCACGGGTGAAATGGAGCAGGTCCTCCTGAGGGTCTCCAGGCTAGAGGACGAGAACAGGAGTCTGGCTGCGGACAAGGCCAACATCGCTGCTGATGCCAGAGCAGTGAAGGCTGAGCTGGAGCTCTGCAGACAAGCCAACAGGTAGGAGGTGTGCTGTAGTCCGGCTCTGGGTCCGCACCAAAGTCTCCTCACACCAGAACTTGGAGCCGTAGCAGGAGAAGGACCCCATTCTTTATCACGGTTCATATTAAAGGCTGCATGTTCTCTAAAGGAAACAGCTCAGATATTCAAAGTCATTGTTCTTCGATTTGCTTATTTATCATGTAGCATCTGCATTCTCTTAGTTATATGATGATTGCAATATAGCCACATTTTTTTGTTTATCTATGCAACTAAAGATGTTTAAACATAAAAGCAAAACTAAACATGATGCCAGTCTGGTGAAAAGGAAACGTTTCACTTCACCAAAATAGGAGTCCTCAGCTGTGTTAATGCCTTATGGGACACAGTGTTCTCCCACCCATCTGCCTTCATGAGAAATATTACGTGTTTTTCTGCACTAACTAACAGAGGTCAGGTAAAAGCAGACATAATAACAGAGTTCACTGTTGCCATTGTGAGTCACATTCAGTTCACAGTAATTAAGAAAATAAAAAACCTGCATTAAATTCAAAGTTCAGAAAATATAAATGTTCTTCATTAGTGCTTGTTTGAAGGTATTCATGCACAACTCTGGTTGTAGGTCTACATATCTGCTGCTGATTATGTTTATTCATTTGGCAGATGCTTTTATCCAAAGCGACTTACAATTTATAACCTATAGGGCATGTTGTGATATGTGAGGGAAACCGGAGTACCCGGAGGAAACCCACGCATGCATGGGGAGAACACGCTACTCCACGCAGAAAGCCCGCAGTCGAGTTTCGAACCTGCAACCTTCGTGCTGTGAGGCAACAGTGCTAATAACTGGGCCACCATGCGGCCCATTATGGAGAGAGGCGCTGTTCTAGTCAAATCAATATTCAGCACAATCCCTGCAAAATAAAACCCTAATTATTAAGATCTTATTTTTAAAGTGACAGTGTGTATTTTTCCTTGCGATGGGGGCAGTAGATACCTAAATAGGGCTTGTGATCGTGACGTCATCACTGACGTGGCCGCCCCGTTGGAGGCTTGTGTGTACTTACCTGTTGCTTGTTACTACTGTAAACAGAGCGCTCAGTCTCATTCTTGCGGCTTAAATTAATCTTTTATTCGTTTGATCGGTTATATTACACAGCTCTAGTAAATCTTTGCTGTGTTGTGGGGTGACACACGTGATCGCCAGGAGAATAAAGGTGGAAAACAAGCTAACCTTTCACAGTTTTCCTGCTTGGAGGCAAAACCACGGAGACCAAGTATCTAGCATAACAAAGTCTTGTTAGCTCACTTGGATCTCTGCTGTAAGGCAACCAAACATCACCTTCTTGTTATTTTCATTCTGGTAAGTTACAGATGGTGTACATTTTTTATACATCGTTTCTATCCTACCGCTGCATGCACATGAAACACACACACACACACACACACACACACACACACACACACACACACACACACACACACACACACACACACACACACACACACACACACACACACACACACACGCGCGCGCGCGAGGCTACACACACATACCGGTAAGCTAATGCGGGTGCACTGACACACAACACAACTCCTCCTGCTACACCTCTTTTTTGGGTGACAATTTTGATTGTTTTAATAGAAAAAACAAATAAAACATTTACCTCTCATCTGGACGTTTACATCCGCTCACACCACAAACAAGATAGCCGAAAACATCTGTTATGCAGAACTGTGGCGGCAGCAATATGTCATCGGTGCTCCGGTCTTGGGTCGTTCATGTGGGTCAAAACCATTTATAACGCTGATTTTGTCCACATCCAACATCTTTATATAACACATCCCTGTATATTCCGCATCCTTTTTGCGATTTTATAATGTTTAACATTTTCTTTCACCCAAATCTGATTCTTCTCTGCGACAGTACAGTTTGTTTCATGAATTGTTTACACTCGTCAAGCTTCCAACGTGTCAGCGTACTTCCCAGAATGCTATGCGTGTGATCACAAGCCCTATTGTTGCAAGCAAGCTGTATTTTTGTGTTGGAGTAAGAGCTTACCAACGGATGCCCATTAGGTTCAAAAAGCTTTGGGGAGTGCAAACTTCAGCAAAATAACAAGCACATTAGAACCCCTTTCATCACTGACAACAAGTGAAGAGGTAAATGTGTAAAACAACAACATTTAAGAATGACAAAAGTTTTGTAACTGTTTGTTACAAAACTGTAAATGCCTTTTGTCCTCATGGGTTCCCGTAGAAGGAAACATGGCATCTAAAATGGTGTCGCCCAGAGACTTAGATCCGCTTCCATGTATTTTCAACCTGATTTTTCTGGTTTTATGTTACAAAGCCGCCAATATTTTTCAACAACTGGGCATCATTTCATTCATCTTCAACAACATTTTGATGGATATTTCCAGAAATTAATGGTAAAAACTACACATTGTCTCTTTAAGGTCTTGTAAAATGTCAGAAAAATTGTTTACAAAAACGACCCTAATTTAAAAAAGTTTCCTTATAAAGAGCAAATTCACAACATTACTCCGAGTCACACTAGATTCAGAGCCGACTCACTTGTGATAAGTCCAGTTGTATCATAATCAGATTCAGATTTAGAATAGTAAAACATCCTCCAGTCAAAGGGACCCAGTTAAATCTTCACTTAAGCACAATCTTCCATCCTGGAGAAGCTCAGTGTGTTGGGCAGCGGTGGAAAACAACCAGAATGAGTTTCCTTCTAGTCTGGAATGACTAGGATCTGAGAAGACTCAACGGAGACAACTTGGAAGGACAGGATAAGATGTTATTGCTATAGACAATAAACTGAGAGAGCAAAGTTAAAGGCAGCAACAACAGTGAAGAGAGAGGAGATATAGTCACAATGTCCTCCAGGGGTCTGTAGCAGCGTAACTAAAGGGATGAGCCAGGATAACCTAGCTCTTTCTCCAGGGGTCTGTAGCAGCGTAACTAAAGGGATGAGCCAGGATAACCTAGCTTGTTCTCCAGGGGTCTGTAGCAGCGTAACTAAAGGGATGAGCCAGGATAACCTAGCTTGTTCTCCAGGGGTCTGTAGCAGCGTAACTAAAGGGATGAGCCAGGATAACCTAGCTTGTTCTCCAGGGGTCTGTAGCAGCGTAACTAAAGGGATGAGCCAGGATAACCTAGCTTGTTCTCCAGGGGTCTGTAGCAGCGTAACTAAAGGGATGAGCCAGGATAACCTAGCTTGTTCTCCAGGGGTCTGTAGCAGCGTAACTAAAGGGATGAGCCAGGATAACCTAGCTTGTTCTCCAGGGGTCTGTAGCAGCGTAACTAAAGGGATGAGCCAGGATAACCTAGCTTGTTCTCCAGGGGTCTGTAGCAGCGTAACTAAAGGGATGAGCCAGGATAACCTAGCTTGTCCTCCAGGGGTCTGTAGCAGCGTAACTAAAGGGATGAGCCAGGATAACCTAGCTTGTTCTCCAGGGGTCTGTAGCAGCGTAACTAAAGGGATGAGCCAGGATAACTTTTTGTTTCCATGGCTGTACTTCAGGTGTGTGTATTTCTATCACTGCTGATCTCACATGTAGAAAACTAGGATATTGTTATTTAGCGTTGCATTATGTACAGAAGCCTAAAGAGGTGTTTCTGGGAGCTGCTCTGTAGTCTGCCGTGCTCCCAGCAGACTTGCTCTGACATTAATGTGGAGTTTCTCATTCCTAAGTGTGAAGCCTGTCAGACGGTGTTGAATTACGCAGCGATGCTTTCACCCTCATGTACAGATGACAGTGTGTCAAGAATTTCTCGTTCAATCTTTGTCTGTCTTCTATATTCTCTGTTCTCAATCCACCACCCTCCTCCTCCTCCTCCTTTCTTTATTATTCGTTTCTTCTCTGACTCTTGTGTCTAATCTACTCACTCACGCCTGTGCTTGAATCAGGAAGGCTGAGAGGAGAGTGAGCACACTGAAGAGACAAAAAGAGGAGTGGAAGCTGAAGGAGAAGAACACTCTGCATCACCTGGGAGCTGTTGTTTCTGTGGCACAGCACATCTCCAAGGAGAAAGACCAGCTGTTGAACATGGTACCACTGATGTCACACACCAGCACACTGATGGTGTCTCTGCTGACTTATAAACAATCTGATTAAAAAACTACAACCTGATAATCTCGTTTCCATGTGTTCATTTAGAAACACACCGTAGACACTAAGAAGTCTGAGTGTGAGGCCTGTGTGTGTCTTGTGGGAGGATGTTTGCAGCTGCATTCAGCTTGTCCACCTTCTCACCTCTGAGAACGTCCACTTTCTTTTTCTTGGCTTTAGAGCAAAACTTGTGTACGGGCCTCCAAAGCGCTGGAATGAGATTATTCTTGATTATCAGAAGATTTATTTTGTGTTCATATTATTACACCCAATCACTCAGTGTGGCTGTCAAGTCTTTTGTTTTCAGTCTCTTTGAATATGTTAATGTTATATTTCTTAAAATTAGGAATATGTTCCCTTATCTTCTAATCTCAGTTATCCTAAAATCCTCCATGTCCCACACCCTCCCTATCCCAGCTCAGTAACCCATCTTCCCCATCTGCCTCCCTAGGCTTCCACTCTACAGGAGGAGAAGCAGAGGTTTGTCACCAATATCCAGAACGGCACTCTTCGATTCAGCAAACTACAAGAAGAGATCAAAGTGAGTTCCTTCCTTGTTTTTTCTTTGACAAAAAGCCTCCTCACAGATGCACGAAGGTTTAGTTTGTTTATTAGATCATGTCATTAAAGGTGCACTGACGTTTCCTAATGTCCTGCTCTGAACACGTGAGCGGTCTAGCACTAGCATGTAGCCCTGAGGCTACACCGCTACATGGTGAGCAGCATCATTGGATCCTAATCTTCCACTTGTTCGTTTTCCTCAAGAGAGTCCTGAAGTGTGTTTATGGATCATCACACTCTGACTCGATCAATAAACCATCTACTGCCAACCTCCACTCATCCAGAAACACAAACTGATGACTTTAGTAGAAAAACTAGTCACTGACATCTTGTTCATTCCAGACAGAACTAATAAAATACCTCTCAGTACACCCAAAGTTCTCAAATGGGAACCCAGTGTGAAGTTCCAAATACCCTCACATGTGAGCAACACCAAAAAGAGTCAGGTCTCAGTCCAAAGGGGCTGAAGTTTAAAACATCTGTGATAAAGAGAAGACTGGTCGGCTTTTATGTTTATTTATTTAGCAGACGCTTTTTATCCAAAGCGACTTACAATTTATAACCTATAGGGCGTGTTGTGATCTGTGGGGGAACCCGGAGTACCCGGAGGAAACCCACGCATGCATGGGGAGAACACGCAACTCCACGCAGAAAGGCCGAAGTCGAGTTTTCGAACTTGCGACCTTCGTGCTGTGAGGCAACAGTGCTAACCACTGCGCCACCATGCAGCCCTTTTTTTACAACACACGTCCACTGATCTTTTGGTTAACGTGTCACCATCTGGCAGGTTCAGGTTAGGGGAATACAAACCAACCAAAAGCCTGCTTTTCTGAGCTTGAGTTTCTGTAAACCTGTTGTGAAAAATAATCCTGCAATCTACCAACTTTGTGTTCTATTTTTTTATTTATTATTATTGTGAGGCTCTCTTTTGAAAGGTTCTATAATACAAAGTTGGTTTATATGCTGACAGTAAATAAGCAATAGTGGGATGTTATCACTAATGATTTGTGGATGTGGCAAGGCCTACACTCCTCAGTGACGGAGAGGGAAAGATGTGACCTCCCTGACATGCCTGCCCTGGTTTTCTGAAGGCAGCAACTCAGCAGATTGCTCACAAGTACTACCAGCTCTCAGTAGATGGTAAATAATTCATGTTCGATGCCTGAATCAGAAGCTTTTTTCAGCAGCAGGAATCTCTAAATGCATGAATCCTACCTATAGGTAAGCTGCTCCAGCTCAGAGAGGCTAGCATCAGGATGATGTTGAGAGTCAGACAGGGGCACAAAGACCAAATCTGCACCGACAATAGACCAGCAAACCCTTGGTGAATGAGTGTTTCAGTGATTTTACAGCTGTACCCACAGACCGGCTGATGTTCTGTTCATTGATCAGCTCACCTGACATGGCCACTTGTTTTTACTTTGCTGTGGTGCCGGTAAATCAGATCTGATCACTCAGTACACATGTTGATGTCAGCTCTGAGGTGAACCAGTACGGTTAAACTTTTGTTCTTGAAGCGTTAAATGTGCGTAAAAGATAAATAGAAACATTTAACAGCAACCACATTTTCTTCTTTAAACAGAAGAAGCTGCCTTGTGTTGACCTTCAGTTTTGCATCGAGGTGTGCAAATATTCACCATGACTCTATTTATTGGCAGCCTGTCAGCAGTGATTATATAACGTACTGCACAGGTGCTCACTGTTACTTGGTTTTTCCACACATTAAAGGGCAGTTATCATCTTACAGTCAGAAGGTATACGTCAACACAAAAACCATAAAACATCATATGACAGAGGAGCTCAGACCTGAGAGGGAAAATAACCTATTTACAATCCTAGTGTAGAAAAAGAAGACATCATAGAAAAATAAGACAAAATAAAGAAGGAGTCTGTAGCTCAGGAGGTTGGGGGGGTTGTAGGATCGATCCTGGCTCCCGGCATAGAATGCTGTTGTGTCCATGGGCAAGACACTTAACCCGCCTTTCCTGCTGGCGGTGGTCGGAGGGACCAGTGGCACCAGTGCTCAGCAGCCTCGCCTCTGTCAGTGCGCCCCAGGGCAGCTGTAGCTACAGTGTAGCTCATCATCACCAGTTTGTGAATGGGTGAAACACTGATTGTGTTGTGAAGCGCCTTGGGGGTTGTAGAACCCTAGAAGGTGCAAATACAGGCCATTCACCATTTTAACCATCATCATCATCATCATCATCATCATCATTGCTGCCAGTCGGAGCCCAGGTGTGTGAAAGCATCTTCATGCAGATTTATCTGAAGACATCTACAGTAGAATTACATGGGCTGCCGCAGAGGAGGAAATTTTTATCAGCCGGAAACATTCAAAGGAAAAGAAATTAAAGAAGAGTGAGGTAAATAATTTCTGGAAAGTTATGAGTGCTTCCGGGGCTGGCCCAATCATCTGAGCTGATGAAGGGACAGGTGGTGGCCGCAGCAGGATGAATGCAGAAGTGTTTGGGGATTTTTTCTCACAGTAAATCAGTTCCTCTAATCTCAGTTCACAGACGTCCTGCAACAAAATGAGATACACGGCCTGTTCAAGCAAAGCTCTCATCTGTGACGCTTCTGTAAAACAGTTTACTGCTGGAACAGATTGAAGATACAGTTTCAGCCTTCGGTAGAGGGATGGAAGAGAATCTGATGTAAGACTTCAGTTTTATTTGGCAACTTTCTGTTAACTTTATAGTTATGGTATGGAAGCTCATCATTTAGAGCTGTTGACATTTGTGCAAATGTTCTTGTACAAACATAGAATAAACTAACGTTTACATATTTCAGATGGTACATGTAGAGCACATATGTCAGAGTCAAGGCCCGCGGGCCAGATGCGGCCCGCGGAGCATTTTTATGTGGCCCGCCAGATAAATATCAAAAATATATTAAAACTGGCCCGCTGGCCGATTTTACCGCAAAGACTTCAACTCCCATGATGCTTTGCGGCGTCAGCGCGGAGCCGACGAAGTCCCCTCCTTTGTGTTTTTTCAGCGCCTGCTGCCGGTCTCTGCAGCTCCGCTGTCTCGGACAAACTACACTCCTCTCACTCAGCGCCGAGTTCACTCAGCTGTTTTCTGACGTTGAAGCCCAGAAACGGAGATTCTAGCCGCTCAGTAATGTGTTCACGACTGAAAGAGAAAGTGTTCCAACTAACTTCCAGACAGAGCTGATATAACTCCAGCAAACAGCGACACGTTCAAATCAGCACGACTCTGTGGTTGTGTTTCCTCCCCGACACACAACAACGTGGTCAAGCTGCTCAGACATGTTCATCAGCACAAACCTATGTGAGCACCTGTTGTCATCTAATGTTGTCATTATTATGATAATGATAAACAAAACAACAGGAGTCTCCTCCTCAGCTCAGATCAACCCCATGATGCAGGTATCTGGCTGGAACAGGTGAGCATCACAGTAAACCAGTGGAGCAAACTGAGCTTTAAATATGTTGGTTTTATGCTCTTTTTCTGCTCCAAAACATGAAAGTTAACAGGTGAGATGTTGCATTTTCATTTAAGATAAAATGATATTTTTATGTTGTTGTTGGCCCGTGAGAAAAGATTTAACCTACAGTAAACAGGAAGTGGAAAGGCTGCAGATAGATGAATAGAATAGAAAATCCCTTTATTGTTCTTCAGTGGGGAAAGCTAGACGTCACAGCAGCGATGACACTTATTACAGGAGAAAAAAAGGAGAATAAAAAATAAGAAAAATGAATAAACAAGAAAACATAAATCCTGAATAGATTTTAAAAATGCTGAATATACCACAAGTAATGAATACCGCTGATGTGTTTTATTTGTAACTGACTTGCTCGTGTGTAATTTGGTTATTCCACATTCAGTGTTAATGCAGAAATATGTTTGTTTCCAAATTTAAAGGTTCAAAATTGCATATATGTTGATAAAGAAAATGTGCAAATTTGCCGTCACTTTTTCAAAAATATTAAGTTTGGCCCTCGACTCCGTCCCAGAGTTTCATTTCGGCCCCTTGTGAGTTTGAGTTTGACACCCCTGATGTAGAGGGAAAATGTTCACTAACTCCAAAGGAAAAATTATTCACAAACCATTTGTGTCAACAACATGAACCCTGCATTATTAGAGACGATATGTAGTTTTACCATTATTCTCTGGAAATACCCATCGAAATGTTGTTGAAAAAGAATAAAATGATGCACTCTTGTTGAAAAAATTGGTGGCTTTTTGACATATAACCATAAAAATTGGGTCTAAAATACATGGAAGCAGATCTAAAGCCTGGATCACACTGTGCAATTTGCAGCCGTCTTAGCCAAATCCTTCGTTGGGAGCATAATCGTGTAAAAAAAAACGGTGAACTTGAGGGTGATTTGCATATCTGTGGTCATCCAGTCTAATTCGCTCTGCGACAGCTTTTTGAGCCGTGTCATGACCAAAGACAGCCTCTGACAGTCTATAGAGCTCCGGATGTCACGTGACTCTCAGAGAGTAGACGCCATGTTGGCAGGCAATAAAGGTAAACAAAATAAACGGGATCGGCTTGGATTTTACTCCGTCGGTAGTTAAAACTGAAGAAATCGTTTTATATACTCAGAACTTAAATAGACTAAACATCTCCGACCCTTACCATGCCCCTGGGTAATTTTTAAAAACGCCAGAAGCTGTTGGAGCGGACCTGGCCAGGGAACGCCTTGGGATTTCCCCGGAGGAGCGGGCCCAAGTGGCTGGGGAGAGGGAAGTCTGGGCCTCTCGACTTAGGCTAGTGCCCCCGCGACCCGACTCCCGATAAGCGGATGAAAATGGATGGATGGATGGACAAATAACACAGATTTACATGTAAGAAGAGTGTTGTACTGTTTGAATGTATAAACTGAACGCCAAGAGAAATTACTAGTCTGATTTTTTTCTTGTGAAAAGAAATATGTCAGGCAGGAGCGTTTCAGGATCTGTCTGATATCTGTCTCGGTGAGACAGATAATAGCATCCAAAGTGCTTT